AAATTTGTGGCCAGCCGCATTCCTCCCTCCCAGGCAGGAATTTCCCTCTTTCTATGGGGCTGCAAAATCTTTAATTCACCCAGCGTCAAGGAAGGAGGGACCTGCAGGATGCAGCCCCAAAGCAGTGGTGTGGGCGGACTCCAAGGGGGGAAAGCTCATTCATAAGAGCTAGCGGAGAGTTGATTTCTGGGGGCACACAGCAAGCACTGGAAGGCGAAGGGGTGTTTGTCTGTCCAAATTCAGCCTCCTTTCTAGGAATCCAGGCTCTGTTCCTTCCCTCCAAGAAATATTGTTAAGGGTGCTTTCTACCTGCATTTGAGGTAATGTGTTTGTTCTCCACAGGGCCACAGAGAGTTATTAATACACGCTTGTCTTTTTAAAAAAAGAGCATAATCTAACAATGCATAACCACCCCTCCCCGACTTTTACATTTTTTCGAGTCCTTCTACTGGACGAGAGACATGCAGGTGCCTTTTCCTAGTTTAAATGCTGTAATGAAAAGAAATTTTTTCCCAGGGACACCAATACATGTGCAATTTCCATTTCTGAAAAACATCACATGGGCTTAGAAAAGTGTGACTCCTCTCAGCCTCCTTCGGTAATTCTTTCCGCTCTGGGGAAACCATGGAGGAAGGCTCCTGACTGAAGGAGAGGAAGGGATCCCATCCGATGCCTCAAGGAGTCTAACGTCTGAGGCACAAGCAGAGACTCCAGCAGAGTCACCTCTGAGTCCCCAGAATCTCAAGCCAGAAGGACAGGAAGAGCCCTCTGCGACTCTGTGGCACGTGTAAAGCAGAGTTCCCCTGACTCCATTTCTGAAACCGACTCGCTAGATAGGACCGGACTCCGGAGCCACCAGAGGACGAGGCCCCCAATTACCATCTTGGCTTCTAGGCAGAGAGGGATACTACGGTCTATGGCAGTGATGGCGAACCTTTTAGAGACTGAGTGCCCAAACTGCGACCCAAAACCCACTTATTTATCGCAAAGGGCCAACACGGCGATTTAACATGAATACTGAGGTTTTACTTGAGAAAAAACAACTCATACATTAACTTAAGATGATTCAAACAAAGTAAGAAAAGCAATCCCAAATGCTTTAATTTACTTATTTGGCAGAGAATTTGACACTTTAATGATGGTCTGGGCTTGGCTGGGGCGATGGCATGTGTGCTCACAGAAAGGGCTCTGAGTGCCACCTCTGGCACCCGTGCCATAGGTTCGCCACCACTGGTCTATGGTATTGATGGAGAGTCAGCAGGCACACTGTCCGCCTCCTATCCCTTCCCCAGAACAGGTCTTCCCTCACAGTCCTTGAAGCACTTGCTGTTCCATAACCCTCCCTGAAACACGAGTGAGAAGGAACCCACATGCAGATGTTTAAACCTAGGGACTGATGCTGCTTCTTTGATGTTTCCTCCTGTAAAAGGGAGATTTCTACACCACTCCTCCACAAAAGAAAAACTCTGAATAAGCAAAAGGATGATATTTTAGCACACAATCAATCTAAGATGGACCATTTATCAGAGCCTGGGCCATTTCCATTGGAGTTCTGGCTTTGTGGATTGGGCTCCTTGAAGACATTTTTTTTGGGGGGGAGGTGCTGATATTTTGACACACAACCCACTGAAGATGTATCGTTTAGCAGGGTCCAGGCCTTTTCTGGCTCTGTGGGCTGAGCTGCCCCCCCCCGGAGATCTGTAGGAGGCTGTGTTTGTTTGTCAGGGCTTTTGAGGCAGTTTGAATGGCAGGCATCTTTTAAGTGGGATGGGGGAGAGATAGGGGGGGTTGCTATTTTATTTTCAGTTTTAACTGAATTTTTTTAAACTATTATTGGCTGCGGTCACACGGAACAGAAGCCACACAAGTGAGACGGAAAACAGGCGGAGTTTCCAGGCGCAATCTCACCAGCACATCTGGGAAGTGTAGCACTCCCGTGGCTCAACCGAGGCTTCCAGCCGAAACTGTGTGGCAAAAAACTAGTACCTCGGAGGTACTAGTTTCCGGAAACTGCGGGGCAAGGGCGGGCGTCTGATCGCGTTTCCGGTGGCATCTGGCGCCCGCCCATGTCCCCTTGCAAATAAGGTGGGTTTTTTTTGTCCAAGTCTCTGTGGATGCGCACATGCACCCAACGGAGCATGCGCATTTGTCGTGTACACACACAAAAAAACAGTTTGCCGCGGTGCGTGCTTCTTCATTGCGCGCTGGCTTGTCCTGTGATCAGCACCTCTCCCTTGCCATGGAACCTCCACGATACCTCCACAGGACCTCCACGGGAGGTCTGATCGCGTAACTGCGCAGTAGTTTGCCCCAGGGCAAACAGCCATGCTTCTCCCCCGCAGTTTCCTGCCCGTGTGACCGGGGCCATTGTAAGCTGCCTTAAACCACAAGGAAAAGTGGGACATAAATGTTCTAATAAAAAAAAACCATGGAAGGCCTGAGATTTCTGCATCTGTCAGCAATGTTCCCTCTAAGCTGTGGAGTCTTGTGCGCAAAAATTCTATTTTGTGAGCTACTGGCATTAAAGTTGCGAGCAAGCAATTTGGTTACTGCATAGATTAGTCTGCTCTGGAGCCATCCTTCCTGAACTAAGACAAAAATGTGTGAGCAGGAGGCTAAAAGAACTGTGAGCTAGCTCACACTAAGCTTAGAGGGAACACTCCCTGTCAGACATATTTCTTCCAAGAAGGCCACTTCTCCACAAAAATTTATTCCTTACAGCTATCTTAAATCACTCACATCATGAATGTGAGCAGACTGCGTCAGCTTCACTCATGGAAATCAGTTGTGGCACAAAATGCCCATCTCAAGAGGATTCCTGTCTTACAGCTTGATACACAAGTTTAAAAAGACATGCTGCACCAACCTTTGAAACATTTAATAACTAATTCATTAAAAACACAAACCACAGGAAAAAAAATACCACACGAATAGAAATAAAAATCTCTTTAATGAGCTATAACCCTTCCTTAGCTGGGCTTTGTCTTCTCTAACAACGCCCCCCCCCCCCACTTACTTAAGGTTGCCTACTGCCTGGAGAAAATAGTGTGCTGTCCCTTTAACAGACGTTTTATGGGATGTTATTTATCTCTTCAGATGCCCATTGCCACATACTAAGCCTCTTGCAAACAGGTAGGATTTCGTTTTCTTTACAGACCTGTTAGCAACCTTAAATCAGATTTCTTTCCAAACTACAATTATGAGATGACAAGAGAATTTTCTCAGTCTGCAAAATGAAGGCACAACCTCAAGGAAGGAATCCGTCCGTGTGTGTGTGTGTAGCGGGGGGGCATTACTCCAGGACATTTCTGGCTCCTGGAACGGGGTGGGTGGGTGTCAGAGCAGGAGGAGGGAACCTTACTTCTCTCTCCTGTTTCTCTCCAGGAGTAACTGGAATTGTGTACCAAGAACTGGGATTGGGGAGTTTTATATCCCACAGTATTCACCTGCCTGCTCTGAGGTTACCTGCTCATTTCTACATCAATAGATGCTGTTAGGGGGTCTGACCCTTTTGAATTCACTGAGTTACTGGGTTGGGGGACACAACTTTTTCCTTTCAACCCAAATTAATCCTACTGCCAGAAGACTTTGAGCTTCAAAGTGGTGAAACTCTGAAAAGCTCTCAGGAGGCTGGACTGGGGAGAGAATAGGGTCCAGAAATGCCTCTCCAAAACTCCTTGGCAGATAAAAATGTTTCTAAATTGAGAATGCAGGCTGTTTAGACTATGTTTACGCTACTAGCAGAGAGGCTGTACATATTTGCTATCCTTGACTACAGCATTTGGAAAATAGATATGTTTTTAACCAGTTTTGCAGATGTCAAAGAGAGCTAGCTTGACAGATATACTGAAGCAGGGCAACCACTAAAAGGCCCTCCTATGCATAACTACTTTTGGAGCATTTCTGAGCTTCCATTCTGGGGAGATGCAAGGTCTTTACAAGAGCTTACATGGTTTCAGCCCTTTCTATGTTCTGTGGTTGTCTTTTAGAAAGAGAAAAGCTCTTTTTACAAGCTGTGGTTTCTCCTTGTGTGGGTTCTTTGATGCTGTAGAAGATTGCCACTCTGACTGAACCTCTTTCCACACTCTGAGCACTCAAACGGTTTCTCCCCTGTGTGGGTTCTTTGATGCTGTTGAAGACTGCCACCCCAATTGAATCTCTTTCCACACTCTGGACATTCAAATCGTTTCTCACCAATGTGTGTTCTTAGATGCTTTTGAAGGTCACAGCTTTGACTGTATTTCTTCCTACACTTTGAGCATTCAAAAGGTTTCTCATCTGTGTGGGTTCTTAGGTGCCTTTGAAGGTCACAATTTCGACTGAATTTCTTTTGGCACTTCGAGCATTCAAAAAATTTCTCTCCTGTGTGGATTTTTAGATGCTGTTGCAGATGGCCACTTTGACCTAACCTCTTCCCACATTCCAAGTATTCAAGAGGTTTCTCACTTCTGTGGATTCTTTGATGCCGCTTAAGATTGCCAGTCCTACTGAATCTCTTCCCACACTCTGAGCACTCAAAAGGTTTCTCCCCAGTGTGGTTTCTTTGATGTTGTTGAAGATTGCCAAGCTGACTGAATTTCTTTCCACAATCTGAGCAGTCAAAAGGTTTCTCCTTTGTATGGATTCTTTGATGCTGTCGAAAATTGCTACTGTCACGCAATTTCTTTCCACATTCTAAGCATTCAAAAGGTTTCTCCCCTGTGTGGATTCTTATATGCTGTTGAAGACTGCGACTGTGACTGAATCTCTTTCCACATTTTGAGCATTCAAATGGTTTCTCCCCTGTGTGGGTTCTTAGGTGCTGTTGAAGATTGCCACTTGAACTGAATCTCTTTCTACACTCTGAACATTCAAAAGGTTTCTCCCTGTTGTGGGTTCTTAGATGCTGCTGAAGACTGCCACTTGAACTGAATCTCTTTCCACATTTTGAGCATTCAAATGGTTTCTCCCCTGTGTGGGTTCTTAGATGCCGCTGCAGATCACAACTCCGCCTGAATCTTGTTCTACACTCTGAGCATTCAAATGGTTTCTCCCCTGTATGTATTCTTTGGTGCACAAGAAGCTGTGATTTGTATTTAAAGTACTTTCCACACCAAAAGCATTTACATCCCTTCATTATACTGTGCTTTAGAAAGTGTACATTACGTTTTTTTCCATCAGGGAATGCCATTCCAGTCTCTGACTGGATAAATGGCTTCTCTCCTGAATGAATCCTTTGGTGTTTAATAAAGTTGGATTTTTGTGAGAAACTTTTGCCACGGTCTGAGCACCTATAATGTTTCTCTCCTGCATATGTTTGTTGATGTATAAGGAGCTCTGCTCTACAAGGGAAGCTCTTCCCACACTCCCAGCCTTGATGGGTCTTCTTTCCACTCTGCATTCGCAAATGTGTGCGCAAATGGACATTATATTGGGTTTTATCTGAGAAGTTCATTCCACACTCCAAGCACTTGTATGTTTCCTCCAGCATGTGAATTACTTCATGGAAATCCCTCCCTTGGCAAGGAATGGGTTGATCCCTCTTCTTGACCATGTGCCTTCCTTTCTGCCTCTTACGTCTGCCCTGTTTCCTGAAGTTTCCTCTCATGTCTTCATTCTTGACTTCATCTGGCAATTGCTGATGAAGTTCCTCACCCTTCTCATTCCTCTGATCATCCCCTGTTGGAATAAAAAGAGAGATCCCATTAGCACCTGGGAGAGGAGGAAAGGTTCAAAGGCATCTCAGTGACTGTAGCAGGAAAGGATCGATGGCCCTTTGGCCTCACCAGCTTAGCTGATCTTAACTAACCCCCCACCAGTGTTTCCTCTGAGCTGCGCTAGCGTCTTCTGGTGCAGTAATATTTAATCCTCAGTGCAGAGATTACTGTCTCAGCACAGGGTTCCCACTGCGTCCAGGCTCCATCCCAGCCAGCTCCTGCAGGAGGTCAAGAAACTGAAGCAACTTGTGTGGCCCCAGGGCACTGCCACTGCCTTCCAGTCCTGCCCCTTCAATGTCCTGCTGGTCAAATCGGGGGAATGGGGCACAGCAATGCTCCACCCTGAGGAAGACAAGCAATGGACAAGAAGGTGCTGTGGGCAGTAGGATAAGGGGGCAGTAGGATAAGGGGGAGCGGTGGCACAGGGGATTTATCCTCTGTTTAAACATCTGAGCTGAACAGGACTGCTGTCAGTTCTAGCCCCGCGCTGGTGTGAGCTACCAAGCCTTGTCCCCAGCTCGCCGTCCACCCAGCGGTTTGAAAGCTTCAACGAGTAGATAAAATGGGTACCACTCCTTAGAGAGGGTGGGCACACTAAACCCCCCGGTGGGGGAGGTGTTAGCTGACGAACGGAAGGTCCAGCGCGTGAGATCAAAAGCCTAGAGAGATCTATTCGGCATCATGGCCTGTAATGGGCCATTCCGGCCAGGCGGTGGCAGTGTTGCGCTGCAACTGAGAAAGCTGACGACATCAAGCCACGCCGAGGGAGAATGCCGTTGGAACATGTCTGAAGCTTACAGCTGGATAAACTCCCCGTCGGCTGCGAAATGTGTGCAATTTAAAGATATATGTTGTCCTCCCTTACCCCCTATCATTGTTAGTCCCTTGTGAATACATGAGTAACTGTAAATCGCTCAGAACCAGCAGCTCTGCAAGGATTGAGCAATTAATAAATCTAAAGATTATTATTATTATTATGTGGAGAGCCAAGCGGCACACGCCCAATGCCCCACGTGTCCTCTTCCCTTCCTTTCTCATCATCGTCCCTCCGTGTTTTGTTTTGACCCTTCTGAGGCGTCATGGTTTTCTCCGGGCTTCCACTGGAAGTGGAAGAGGTGAACTGAGGGGCAGCGAGTGAGAGTAAGGCTGCCCCCCCCACACACACCTTTCCCCTGAATATCCAGTACTTGGTGCCCCTGTTAGCCGCCCTGAGCCTTCGGGAAAGGGCGGGATATAAATGCGAAAAATAAATAAATAAATAATAATAAAGAAATACTTAGGGTTACCACAGCCTCTCAAGACCCACAGCTGAGCTTAGGCCCAGAAGGAGCTCCTCAGCCTCCAGGTTTCAGGTCCTAGAAGGCCTCCTAACCCAGTGGGCTTTATAATTCTACTGAACCAAGAGTTGCCAAGAAGAAAAGCAGAAACCCTCCATTCCTATTCCTTGCCTGTTCCTTTTACGTAACTGTGGAGGATATTCACTTGCAGCCAGCTCATTTGGGCACGAAATATCCCCTTGTGAGACAAAGCATCCTGATTTCCTCCCAAGGGTTAATGTGAATATTAGACCTGCTCTGGCTTGCAGGTGTCTGTAATTGGGCCTCCCTGCCTACACCATCCTTATCTCTTTCAAGGCTGGATTCAAGAACGCTTGCACAAGAGGTGGTGGCTCAGAGGGGCCCAGGCTTGGGTCCTTGACATCTCTTTTCGTGAGAAACTCTCCAGCCTTTCTCCAGAGGAAAGGACTTTGTGTGTCTTCACCCTAGTTTCTCTTAAATTCCTGGCTTCTATGGCAAAGGAAGAGACAAAGTGATCATTCTTATGGGAAAGGGATCCAAGGAAGAGGAAAACTTCTTCTAGAAGGATGGATCAAAGCCCACAATCCTAAACAGTTTAAGGGGGACAAATCCACACCAGATCACAGTCAGAGTAGATGGCCTTGAGCCCATTCAGGGGGGACGGCGTGTTATAAAGGTTGGCGATTGAGAAATCACCATCTGACTCCTTCCAGAGACTTTCTGAGGGCCTCCTTGGCCTCAGACCAGGACACCTTCTCTGTCTTGAGTGACTGCCACACAACATAAGCCTCAGTTGCCCCTGGGCCAGCCAGAGAAGAAGAAGAGAAGAGAAGAGATTGGATTTATACCCCGCCCTTCACTTGGAGTCTCAGAGCGGCTTACAAACTCCTTTCCCTTCCCCTCCCCACAACAGACACCCTGTGAGGTGGGTGGGGCCGAGAGAACTCTGACACAAACTGCTCTTTTTCAAGGACAGCTGTGCCAGAGGTTGTGACTGACCCAAGGTCACATCAGAAGATGCAAGTGGAGGAGTGGGGAATCAAACCCGGTCCTCCCAGATTAGAGTCCGCGCACTTAACCACTACACCAAATAATCGCTTAACCACTACACCAAGCCAGGTGACTTGGGTGAGTCTACCCAGCCATGCTGAACGTTGTTATCACTGCCACCCAACTCCTCGAGACCCTCAATAGGGGACAAGTAGCAGGCCAGGCCTGAAAACGATGCATCTGTGTTCAATATTTCGATTTATGCACCATCTCAATGGTAGCAATTCACACTTTTGGCACCTGTGAAAGTTCCTTACCCAGAGAGGCCACAGTCTCATAGTTCTCCAGCATGACTTCCCTGTAGAGAGCTCTTTGGTCCGGATCCAGCAGGCTTCACTCTGCCTCTGTGATATATACAGCCACCTCCTCAAAGGAAAACAGACACTGAAAGAAAAAGCAGATTCCCTCCTCAGAGATCATGCCAGGCAGAAAATTCACACTGGAAGAGGGCAATTGGGGATGGCACAGGATGGAGAGCTTGGCATGGGTAAAGGGAATGGCATTTGGAGCACCTTTCCCTCAGATACCTTAGCAGAAACTGCAGGAGCAAAAGCTACTCTGTGAAAGGAGAAGAAGAAAAAGAAGAGTTGGATTTATACCCTGCCCTTCACTACCTAGAGCGGCTTACAATCTCCTTCCCTTCCTCTCCCCACAACAGACACCCTGTGAGGTAGGTGGGGCTGAGAGAGCTTTGAAAGAACTCTTGAGAGAACAGCTCTAAGAGAACTGTGATTGACCCAAGGTCACCCAGCTGGCTGCATGTGGAGGAATCGGTTCTCCAGATTAGAGTCCGCCTCTCAACCACAACACCAAACTGGACCCAGGTTGTCCCCCGCTCATCTCCTCAACCTGGACTGGAGATGCAGCAGCCATTTTCACACCTCTGCCAAGACGACAGCTGAACACCACCTATCCACTGCCTGTGACAGAGACAAAGAAGGAAGATTGTTAGCCTAGATTCCCTCGTTTGCTTGTTTGAATCCCGCTTTGTGCGCCCTCCTTCCCAGGGCTGTGAAACCTTGCCATAGGCACACCCAACAAAATTTGTAAGGATTTTTAGTAAATTGTGGGAGAGGCGGCAGAGAAGCACCAGGTACCCACGAGCCTTGGGGGCTCCTAAATGCTGCTGACCCATTGAGATTTCTATGAGAACTGAAATGTGCTCTGTGAACTCTGGAGTTCAAAAACATGACACCATCTCTGCTGGATCAGGCCCAAGGCCCAGGGGCTCCGTTCTCCCGCCAGCTGGGCCCTCCCACAGGCCCATCATTCCCGGCTGGCAGGAGGAAAAGAGGGGGGCAAAAATGACATCGCATGACATGTCACCGTCGCATCCCTCTGGAAACCAAGAGGTGACTTCAGCGTATATGAAAACTCCAGGGTACTATTGATGGGTTTCCAGAGTGTCTGCTGATGCTCTGACTTCACATCCAGTCATGTGCAACCCCCAAACATCACAGGGTTGCCTGGCTACAGGCTGGCATCCACAGTCCACTCTCCTCTTTCTGACCGTGGTCCAAAAGATGCTCCTGGAAAGCTTTTAATCAAGGGCACAGAAGACAAATATTGGCCAACAGTGGCCCCGGCCACACGGGCTGGATATTGCGGGGGGGGGAGGTGTGGCTAATTGCCCCAGCGCAGTTTGATCCGCGATTACGCAATCAGACGTGCCGGCGGCACCCCATGGGCAGTGTTCCCTCTAAGCTGAGTTAGTGTGAGCTAGCTCACAGTTTTTTAGCCTCTGGCTCACACATTTTTGTCTTCGCTCAGGAAGGAGGGCTCTAGAGCAAGCTAATTTATGCAGCAGCCAAATCGCCCGCTCACAACTTTAATGCCAG